TTGCTTTTTTAGCATATGCTGCGCTGAGGATAATTTAGCTTTTCCTGAAGACCCCGCCAGAACGTTCTAGGCTGAACTTGTGGTTCTAACTCTGTTTGTTGTCCTATACTTACGTGAATAAAGCTTATTACGTGAATAAAAAGATGAGGGCGGTTATTATAATGTAATTAACTTGTTTATGCTGCATGCCGTTTATTAGTTATTTTAATAAAGCGTTTTTTTTAGATGCTTCGGTGTCCCTAAATATTGGTTTTTTTTTTTGCGGAATAATCATTCGTTTTATTCCTTAGCATCTGTTCATTAGGATTTAATTTTAGCTTATTTTTTCGCATATAAGTGGTAATTGAAGTAATGAAAATTTACCACTTTTTGAGCATTGTTTGCTGAGCAAAATTTATCATTCTTTGTTGACTATGGTACTACTTCAAGAAGCCTTTAGGAAGGTTGCTTTTTTTTTTCCTTTTTTCGAGTAGATGTTGTGTCAGTTAGAAGCGCCTTTTGCACCTGGTCGGTTATGATTGCAATTTTTTGAAGTTGTCTTGAAAATCGCCTTTTGAAAATTGGTTCTTGAACATCAGCACCGCGATTTTTCAAAATTTTGCATATTTGGAAAAAATGTCACTAATCGCGACTGTTGGATGGAAACATCCTGCTAATATTTGAGCGTTCCAGCTTCTCAAATTCCCGAGTTATGAACTCACCGAAGAAAAATTGGCGGACCCGTGCGCGGCTACCACGCTTAACTGGGGGATGCCAACTCATCTACAACTTCAGTTATCAAATCCAGCCTCCCGTTATGCGTGGTAGCCACGCATGGCCCCGTGAAAATTTTTGGCGGGAAAATAGCTAACTCCGGAACCAGAGAAGCTAGGAGGCTGAAACTTTCAGGATGGTTTGTGTAGCTAGATCTTAACATGTGGATATACGCAGTAATATCGATATCCGAGCTGCTTTGTTGTTTCCGGTAGTCCACAGTTCGTTTTTGGTGTTCATTCCGGGTTAATGTGGAGTAGGCAGCAGCGAAGTATAGTAACGCGTGCCATTTACCCTCATTTAAGTGAACTTTTATGACATTCCCATGTAATATGATTTAGATTGTGAGCGGTGTTGTGCAAAGTATCAAGTTGATCACTGAAGAAGCATCGCGACGCATTGCCAAATATGCCTTCGACTATGCGCAGCGAAACGGCCGTGCCGAGGTCACTGCAGTACATAAAGCGAACATAATGCGCAAGTCGGATGGGCTCTTTCTCAGTATGTGTCGCGAACAGGCCGCGAATTATCCGGATATAAGATTCAAAGAGGCATATTTGGACACAGTTTGCTTGAATGTTCGTTATTTCTCGTACATAAATGCTTTTTATAATGTTTCGCCTCTGACTTTGAGCTTTTAAATTTTTTAGACATCTATTCTTCCATTTTTGGAAAATAAACTAAAATCCTTGTCAGACTCGACTTTACTCCAGTCACTGTAAATTATTAATTATAAAAGACTTTAACCGAAAGTTTTTAAAGTCTTGGTTTACTAGTATGTTCAGCAAAAAAATCTCCGAATTTTTTCTTATTCTTGAATTTTGGATTCTTTTATTTCATTTCCCTTCGCGATTTCATTCTCAACTCTCAAAAAGCGACAGTGAATTTAGCCCAGTAACTGAACTTTTGTTTACACCACTTTGCAGTAGTGACTGTTCGCGAAGTGTTTAAAATTTTTCAAAGTCTAAAAATCAGTCTAACTGGTGTATTTTTTCAGATGGTTCAAAATCCAAACCAATACGACGTCTTGGTGATGCCAAATCTGTACGGCGACATATTATCAGATCTATGCGCCGGGCTAGTTGGTGGGCTGGGAGTAACGCCATCTGGGAATATCGGCGAGAACGCAGCGGTATTCGAGTCTGTTCACGGTACTGCACCTGATATCGCCGGACAGGTAGGTTTCTGTAGTTAAAAAAGTGGCACAGAGTTAAAGGAATATATAGCATTAGTGTGGTCAGAAATTCCGACTTCTTCAGTGTGAATCAAAAATCTACTCAGAGCTTGGATGTAGCTGCAGGATCACCCGAATAAATCGCTTTAAACTTCGCCATCAAAAAAAAAAACAGAAGTGACAAGGGACTGTTTTAGTACCAGGATATTCGAAGTTTGGGATGATATGGCGCAGAGAATTGCTCTTTCATCTTTGCAAAGCTATGCTTTTTTGATCATCATACCTGTGGTATCGGCTTTGAAAAAATATTGAAACAGATTTTTTATATTTATATAAACAGACTTTTTATATTCTTAGATTTGGAATTTGGTTCCTCATCAAGCAAGCAAGTAGCGATGATTGGTAAGGGATGAAAAGCATAATTTGTGTTTCTGCAGTAAATAAAAGTAAAAGACCGCACGGGCCGTTTAGGCCCTGTGGGCGCAAGGAAGTAGGAACCAGTAAGGGCTGCACCAGTACTGGATGACTCTGAATAGGCCGTCCATTAGAC